TCACAAACGCTACTTTATCAGGCATTACAGGAAAGACAAAATGAAAATGACACCGAAGCTTTTCTGAAGACGGTCGGTTCTTTTCAAAGATACATTCATATAGAAACACCTGTGCTGCATTTTAATTTTGAAACGTGCAGTGATCAGTTTATTCAACGAAGTAATAACTCGATGTATGGGAAACAATGGACACTGCTATAAGTCAAATGGCCAAGAGTTCACACATATTACACAGCCTGCTGCTCATAACTGCTTAAGAGTGCACTGGCCACGAGCCATGACATCGTGGATGCTATTGTCAGACCTACACACACATTTCATGAGGAAAGTTAACGTGCACGTTATAATCAGCCCAGAAGTTTCGTCTGAACTGCATAGTTTTTACTTTCACATGCAAATGACTTGTTGCACTTATGAATATGATAACTTTCCGGCATCAATTCTAGTAGGGTAAAACATAATTACGCTTTCGAAACGGTCTGTTTTGCCCGGTCATCATTAGCTGAAGCTGTGTGTGAACAAAAACAGCTGCAGAGTGTAAGCTGCACACGCAGCCAGAGAGAGATTCTCCGGTGATCTGCAACAACGCTTAGCTGCCTGCAGATGCGCCTGCCTATAAATCGGCCTAATTTGCAGCACAATCACACAATTTGCATGCAAAAATTAATGCAGATTCATTAAAAAATGCCAAAAATTGGCTGATTGACACTGGGGTTACACCCCTACTCTTTACGAGAAGTGCCATGGGAGCCACAGAGAGTCAGGGCCTCGGTTTAACGTCTCATCCGAAGGAACCATGTTATATTTTATTCTAATAAATGAGCTTATATGACACATTTTAGATACCAATTAAATTTTACTGTTTTTTTTTTTTTACTCCATTCCAATTTCAATACCACAGCAAAAACTATTACCCTAAGAAATATAATGTTCAAACATTAAAGACAAATAAAGAGTCAGTAAATAAGAGCAAGTGAACAAATTACAAGCAACAGTGCAAATGAATTTATAGAACAAAGATAGAATTTAAATGGTGCTTTAAATAGCAGACGGGTTGATTGAAAATGCAAATTCACTCTCTGACAGCAGGTGGCGCTTGATTACCACTAAACAAAGCAGCGCTGCGCTTAGTAACTCTCTTTAAATGCATCACAAACGCTACTTTATCAGGCATTACAGGAAAGACAAAATGAAAATGACACCGAAGCTTTTCTGAAGACGGTCGGTTCTTTTCAAAGATACATTCATATAGAAACACCTGTGCTGCATTTTAATTTTGAAACGTGCAGTGATCAGTTTATTCAACGAAGTAATAACTCGATGTATGGGAAACAATGGACACTGCTATAAGTCAAATGGCCAAGAGTTCACACATATTACACAGCCTGCTGCTCATAACTGCTTAAGAGTGCACTGGCCACGAGCCATGACATCGTGGATGCTATTGTCAGACCTACACACACATTTCATGAGGAAAGTTAACGTGCACGTTATAATCAGCCCAGAAGTTTCGTCTGAACTGCATAGTTTTTACTTTCACATGCAAATGACTTGTTGCACTTATGAATATGATAACTTTCCGGCATCAATTCTAGTAGGGTAAAACATAATTACGCTTTCGAAACGGTCTGTTTTGCCCGGTCATCATTAGCTGAAGCTGTGTGTGAACAAAAACAGCTGCAGAGTGTAAGCTGCACACGCAGCCAGAGAGAGATTCTCCGGTGATCTGCAACACCGCTTAGCTGCCTGCAGATGCGCCTGCCTATAAATCGGCCTAATTTGCAGCACAATCACACAATTTGCATGCAAAAATTAATGCAGATTCATTAAAAAATGCCAAAAATTGGCTGATTGACACTGGGGTTACACCCCTACTCTTTACGAGAAGTGCCATGGGAGCCACAGAGAGTCAGGGCCTCGGTTTAACGTCTCATCCGAAGGAACCATGTTATATTTTATTCTAATAAATGAGCTTATATGACACATTTTAGATACCAATTAAATTTTACTGTTTTTTTTTTTTTACTCCATTCCAATTTCAATACCACAGCAAAAACTATTACCCTAAGAAATATAATGTTCAAACATTAAAGACAAATAAAGAGTCAGTAAATAAGAGCAAGTGAACAAATTACAAGCAACAGTGCAAATGAATTTATAGAACAAAGATAGAATTTAAATGGTGCTTTAAATAGCAGACGGGTTGATTGAAAATGCAAATTCACTCTCTGACAGCAGGTGGCGCTTGATTACCACTAAACAAAGCAGCGCTGCGCTTAGTAACTCTCTTTAAATGCATTATACAGATGCAAGATGAAAAGAAAATGCCATGTAAACTTTTCTGAAAACAGCAAGTTTTCCTCAGAGATATATTCATATGAACCCCCAATTCAATATTTAGGATTTTTTTTTTCCAATATTTTGTGTCATGAACAGTGAGCTGCTCTGCCTGCTACAGTATTTTCTCCTCTTTGCGTCCATCTTCAGCATCTCTGGCCTCTGTTAACGGCCGTTTACACACTTAACTTTAAGCACTTCACCGATAAGACGGGAAGCCCTGGCTTAGCGTGAGCTGAGGCCGGGCTAGAGTGAGCAGAGGCGGCGGGGTTGAGAACTGCGCAGCTGGCGGATCCAATGAAGGAGCGGCAAGCACATGTGATGACCCCGGGCTACCAAAAAGAAAGGAAAAATTGAAATCGCATCATATGACCCTTTTAAGAAATGCATTATCGATTTTAAGCTTTGCTAAGATCACTGATCAGCTGTTTTTCCTTCAGCCGTGCAAGAGAGGAATTCCTATGCTGTTAGTGTGTGGAAGAGGGTGAAGGCCAAACTGGAAGGGAGAGATCTGGACCCTAACAGGAGAATGAGCGTCACTGAGCAGGTTAGCATTCCTCCTTTACATATACAGCCTTACTACTACTTTTTGTATTGTATTGTATTGTATTTGTCATCTTGCTCTCTTTAAGGTGGATTATGTCATCAAGGAGGCGACAAACTTGGACAACCTGGCACAGTTGTACGAGGGATGGACAGCATGGGTGTGAACGGGATCCTTGTAGATCACTTTGGTCCAGCGAGGGTAGAAATCCACCAAAATCCACTGGGTCTGGGGCAATGGAGCCACAGAGCACCATGCAGGAAAGGGGGGGGGGTGTAGAGAGCCTCCCTCTGGCCCACACCGGATCCCCGTAGCACAGCTACACCCGGCGATCCAGCTAACACAATGAAATGGGTCTGCATCTGTCTCCCCGAGATGTGTGGGGAGCTCACCAAGATGGGGAGGTGGGGGGGGGGGACAAAGCACATGCGGCTTGAACTACCCCCCCCAACCAACCCCTGTATCAACACCAACAAATAAATGTCTGTCAACTATCAAAACTAATAGGATTTGCCACAGGGAAAATTTGCAGGAGTTTATCCACTCTTAGAGCAAAGGTCTGCGGTAATTAGCGAGTTTCTAGACTGCATTTGTGCGAGAGTGGAGGGGAAAGGGTGATCCGGTCTTGGAGGGATCCTATGGCCTCTGTTTTTGAATGGCTCGGGATCAGGCACGACTTGCGGCTGGGTTGTCTCCTGCTGGAGCGGGTGTGGAGGGCTATGTGACCAGAAGGCTCAAAGGACTCCATTTGAACCAGAAGGCCTTTGGCAGACCTTAGAGTTCGTTCTTAACCACAAAAAAAACCTTTTCCCTTCAAGTATATATAGAAAACGCTGCAAAAAGAACTTTTTACACCTTCTCCAATGTACTGCACGGATTTCACAATTAAAAGGCAAATCGCAAAGTGGCTTTGGGAACATTCACTGTCACGTGTTTCTGAATGTTTGGCACAATGAATGATGTGCTTGGAGTTGGTAAGTGCTCAGTCTCTTTGATTTGATCGTTGAGTATGACCCAGGCTCAATGTGGTCAGTTTCTAAATGCTTTTTTTCTTAGTATGCATCTCTGATATTGTTTGTGTATTGTAGATTCTTTCTCCCTTTCCTTCTTTGCTATGGATTTAGTCTAGATTGCTCCTTTTTTTGACTTGCCTGTGGAAGTGTATCATCGCTGATACATGTCCCCATTAAAGCTTGCGTTTTACTGATCTTGACCTAGTTTTACATTTTTAGTGGGAGAAATAAGTAAAGGAATAGTGATGTGGTGATGGTTACAATATTGTTGTCTCTTAATGGTTTTACTCCACTTTGTTGGTCAAATAAAACTCTAAATCTGTGTTCTTAAAGTGTTTGCTATATTTGTTCATGTTTGTCTGATTTTTAGACTTTTGACATGTTCATACTTAAATTTCATTTTTAACTTGAGTGAAATTGTTTAGACACTCTTTAGGCTTGTCACAGCAATTCACACAGTCTACCTTCTGTACTGCAATTACATTTTTTCAGGAACAAGGCTTCATTACCCAGTATTAAAAGCAGTGCCGTGACCCCCCTTCATAATTGGTTAACTATTACAAGTTGTTGCTTAACCTTGGGTTAATAGTAACCTGATATTGAAAACCTAATTGTTTTTTGAGCATGACACATTTTGCATCCAATTATTAGTAAATGTACGTTGTTTTTACTTGTTGCTTTAACAGATAATGAGACTTGGATTTGATCTCAGCCATAATAAAATGAAACATTATTTTGATAGTATGTTGAAATATTCAATTGTAGTGAAAACTGTATTATATGTTATTATGGTTTAAAACCATAAGCTGTATTAATTTACCAAAACTAACATTTAGCGCCATCCCATGTTGAGGCTGCCTTCAGTCTTCTCCATTTGTTTTCACATCATTGTATACCATTACAAATCTGGACCCTCTCTTTAGCATTGTTTGAAGAAATATAAATCTTGTTCTATTTTTCTCAAGGTTTTATGGTTTATAGTTAATGCATTTTTTTAAGTTCAGCCATTCAACCCTGTTAAGCATTTCAGCAAAGTGTACGCACATTTCACTGATCATTTGTTAGGGGAAATGTCTTTACCATTTTAGGCCCTGTACCATATTTGTGAACATTTTCCCATTTTATTTTGATAGTGAACTACATTTCCCATGAGTCCATGTGTTCCGAGTTTCAGATAAAAACATACTGAAAATAACGGTCGGTTCGGTTGAAAGACTGCGGCAGTACAGTGGAGGCGCGTTCATATCATCGTGCTGTCCGAGGAACACAAATTCTGAAATACACCAAAATAACCCATGGCTGAGGGCGATAATAAAAGTGCAAATCTGTTGGTAAGTGGCAGTTCGCCTGCTGTCGAAATGTATATCTTATTGTGTTTGTCGTCTTTAGCAATATGCTTTAGCAATAGACTTCTACTGTTGTCACAATCTTAAACCGATTAAAAAGACTTGACGGCACCATAAGGCTTAATCTGTTTTATATTTTTAAATGTTGGTCGTGTGAATGCAGCGAATAGAACGTAAACACGACACGATATATGAACTGCGTGATGAGATGTTAGCAAGCTAATTCAGTGCTAACGAAACGGATTACTCTAAGCTAACTTATATCTAGCGTCTTACTAAATGGTTTTATGGCGAATGGATTTGTTTGATATATATTTAATATATTGAAGTTTGTAATAAGTATTTGCTTTTGATAAATATTTGTAAATTGCATGAGCGTTGCTGGAGATAAGCTAGTTAGGCGAAAGTCTTTATATCATGGTATACCGTGGTAATTTTTTTTAGAGATTGGTTGTAAAGTCACCAAGAATTCTGGTTGAAGTTTATGCTTTAGCCTTTTAAAATACACTTTAAACTTCTAACTACCCATATTTTTACATGATATCCCAGATAAAGGAATTGACTGGGCTGACCCTTTAAACTTGGCCTGCTGGTCTGAACACAGGATTGCACAGTCGCTGGCTTTAAAGCCATTTATGTACTCCTCTCATACATCATATATGTTAACAACTAAAATATATATCTGATAAGCTAATAATTCTCGTTGGTGTCTATTTTAACATTCCTGACGTTCCAGCTGGACGTGCCCATCCCATGACTTTCATGACACTCCCATTGTACAACAATTTCCGATAAAGCCATGTCATCTGTTGTAAGAGAACTCATTGTTTAGACACTGTTACTGACTAAAACCTTTTCTCTAGGCTCAAGAGACGAGTCAGCTGGAAGAGCAGCTTCAAGGATGGGGAGAGGTCATCCTGGCTGGAGATCAGGTCCTGCGCTGGGAGAAGCCGTGGTACCCAGCAGCATTAGTGGGCGCCACCACAATCCTGTTCATGTGAGTCTGCGGTTCATAGCATGCATTAGAGCTACTTCTTGACTTAAGGCCTAATCTTTCACTTTAATTAATTGGATAAGGTTAAAGGATTAGTTCACTTCCAGAATAAAAATTTCCTGATATCTTTTTAAGTCTCTGACTCGATAACTTAAGAATAATGCCAAGTGCTGAAACATGTCAACAAGGCTCAATGGCTGAACAAAACTTGAAACATATTCCATAATATCAACAACAAAAAAAACTGTAACAATCTTAACTTTCTCAAACACTTCACATTTTTAAACACCTTCACATTTTGGTCTCAAGTGGTGGAATGTGCAACAAACACATCACTTTACACAATTACACCTTCAGATTTTTAAGCAGAAACAACGACTGATCAACATGCTCAGGTTAAGAGTACTCCTCTTTGCTGTAATGATATCTCCAGCAGGGAGAACACCCTCTCTGCTGCTACACTTGTACCAGGGATACAGAGGGTACAGCTTGCCAAGTTTGATAGTAATGGGAAATCAGACTGGTGCTCCTTCCACCAGATGAGTGGATCTCCTGTAAGAGGTAATGCCTCTGTATCTCTGTATTTCCTGACTTCATCAGAGGCCTGATTATATGGTGACACAGGTGGATGTTTTGTTTTGGGAGGGGAAAATGAATCCCCAAATAAGTCCTCAAGAGCACAAGCGACCACTTTCTTTCTCTTGCAGGGTGGGAACAGATCTGTCTCAGCATGCTTTCTGTTCTGTTCTTCTTCATTATTCTGGTTCTGAAATAATGATAACATGACATTGTAATTAATAACTTTTACAGATCTCATGTAGCCCACATTAATAAAAACTAAATATTTTCAGTTGATCTTCAACAAAACATTTTTACAGTGTAGATAGATAAAAACATATATGCAGTGTAAAAGAACCTATAAAACCAAGTAATAAGACAATAACTAGCATTATAATATAACTAGCTGATATAATGAACATTAACTAGTTTTCTGACAGTCTAAGGTATCCTTTCAAGTGAAGTCTGTGATGCCTCCATTGCCATTTTGGTGTAGACATCCTGTCTGTTCTCCTCCTCCAAAAAGGGCAGTGCTTTAAAGCGTGGATCCAGCGCTGAGGTTATGCTCAGAAAGGGCATTTCACGCTCATATCTTTTCTCCAGATCTCCAGCCACAGCGATCTTTATGTCCTGCGTCACTGCCGAGTCAGTGTTTTCAATCTGAGTGCCGCGACTTAACTGAACATGCAAAGGTGCGATGATTGAAGCCGTAGAGGTTTTCTCATCCGACATAACGTGCGTTGCCAATTTAAGTGGCTTCAGTGCATTTATTACATCTTCAGCACAGGTTATATCTGCTTCTGTTAATGTCCACAGATCTTTGGAATTTTTCCGCACCTCAGCTGAGAGTAATGCAGCACAGATTGCAGGCTGTTGTTCTACGAATCGCTCCAACATATCATGTGCGCAGTTCCATCTCGTGCAGACATCGGTCATCAGCTTATGCTCAGAAAGGCCAAGTAACTTTTGCTTCTCGTGCAGGACATGGCAGGCGATTGTACTTTTCCTAAAAAATGTTGTGATGTTCCGAACTCTTCCGAGAAGACGGGAAACTGTCGGTAACTTCAGAGCCCGTTGAGCAGCCAGGTTCAAACAGTGCACAAAGCATCTCACGTGAACTAATTTGGCTATTTCTGCAGCTACTGACATATTAGATGCATTATCAGTCACTAGCACTTGATCTTTGTCCTTTATTCCCCATTCGTGCATCACATCATTGAGCAAATCTGCCATGTTTGCTCCTGTGTGATTGTCAAACATTGCTCTGGTCTGCAGAACGTTCGAGACAAGTTCCCATTGTGGCGTTATGTGGTGGCAGGTTATCGTAACATATGACTGGGTTGCTCGCGCAGTCCACAAATTGCAGGAAATGGAAACTCTCTCTGCAGAAGAGAGTGATAACAGAACGTCTCGTTTAACTTCATCATACAAACAAGGAATTGCCATTTCTGTTAAAAACTGACGTGTCGGTATTGTGTAACGTGGCTCACACTTGTGAAGCAATTGTCTGAAGCCGTTATTCTCGACAACGCAGTATGGCCGTAAATCCTGACATATGAAACGCATTAAAGCATTTGTTGTATTCTGAGAGCGCTTGATTTTACTTTTGTCTGCAGTGGCAGAATCCTCCGATCCATTTTGAATAGTGCACTGCTGCTCACGTTGCTAAAATGACCACTCGACGTCACGTGATGCGGCAGTATCCGCGCATCGTCAGGAGTTCATGACGATGTATCGCTGTATCGATATCTTGCACTAGCTCGACTTCACGCATTATGTAATCACGTTGGAAAGGTCACGAGTGACGTAGGCAGAAGGAGTGTTAGGGGGTGTGCCCGAAGCGTGAATCCGTATTTAGAAAGGCATGGAAAACAAATAACGTTTGCTAACGGTTGCCTGTTACATTACAGTACTTAAAATTTCACTTACCACATAAACAGAGTTAGGAGAGATGACTGAGGACAAACATCTAATCTTGTAAAATGTGTGGTAAGTACTGCCGCTCCATAGTATAAACAGAGTACATGCGATTGCGAATAGGGTTGGGAATCGAAAATCGATTCCGATTCCAGAATCGGATACTTAAGGTCAGGAATCGGATACTTGTTGTCAAATTAAAATTTCGATTCTGCCTATCGATTCCTATGCCCTTTTTTTTTTTCTTCTTCATCTGTGAGGACCGGACCTAGCGATCTGTCAGGACCTTGCTCGCTAATCTAAGCGCTCCAAAGTTTGGCAACATTTGCGATCAGAAGCCAAAAAAAGCTAAGTATAATATCTGTGATAGCTAAACATTTTGCAAGAGAGGTGTCACCACCAACATGACAAAGCACTTTAATTTAATAGATCGTTAAAGATCGCGAACACGATTCAAACACCAACGTGATTCTATTCCTAAATTACAATGATTCATCGGTTT